GGTGCCTCTTGGTGTTCTTGGTGTATTTTTTTTAATAGAAAAAAGTTCAACATCAGTTTCACTAACTGAAATCAAGGTGCCAGCCAAGCTACGCTCTCTCCAAGAGCTTTAGAGCATCCACTCTTACTGTCTTCCAGCTCCTGGTGATGGCTGGCTTGCCTTCATTCATGGTCACATCAATCTGATCTCTCCTACTTGGACCACATTGTTTCCTCTTATTTTGTGTATATCAATTCACTCTTGTTGCATCTCTTATAAGGGCACATGATTAGAGTTAGGATTCAGTAGGTAACCCAGGATGTCATTTTTCCCATCCCAAGATCCTTAATCACATCTGAAAAGACCATGTGTCCTTATAAAATAACATTTACACATTAACAACAATAACAGTGATAAACAATTGGTGGCCATTATTTTGTTTAGTAGAGAATCTTGAACCAATTTGCCAGCATCCCCAAATGAAAAAAATACCTGATGCTCATCTATTTTGCTATGTGATTTTTAATTATAAGAACAATTCATAATCATTGTAAGCCATTAAAAAATACAGTACCATTGAAGCCAGGCACGGTGGCACATGCCTTTAATTCCAGTACTTGGGAGGCAGAGGCAGGCAGATCTCTGTGAGTTCAAGGCCAGCCTGGTCTACATAGTGAGTTCCAGGTCAGATGGGGCTACAGGGAGACCCTGTGTCACCTGAATTTCCTCTCGGTCTCCTGCGCTATCAAGCAAACCATATAACATATCTTTATGTGCATTTATTAACTTACAAAGGAATGAGTACCCAATGCGCTGCAGCTCAGAGCCTTCCACATCAAACCACGCCATGCCCATAGTCACCACTAGCTTTGTTCATGCCTCCGGGGCCAGTGATCTCCCTCCAGGTCCACAAGAATCAGTCCATTCTGTCCTTCAGCTGCTGCGCCCGGCTGCCTGTGAGCTACCTGCAGCCCATGGCTTCCATCCCAAGATGGCTCCCAGCAGTCCCTCAGTAGTCCTGGCTCCGCGGCAGGCCCTGCCCCTTGGAGGAACTAGCCAATTGGGAGACACTCTGTCTCAAAATAAAGACAATAATAATAATAATGCAATACCATTGAAGAAAAAAGAGAAAGAAAAGAAAAATTGTCTCTATTCTCCCAACTCAAGGACAGCCAGCGCCTCATCCATGTGTAAACATTTTCAAAGCTGAGTCTTAACGTTTTCTGCGGCACTATTCACAAGAGCTAAGCTGGACACAGAAAATGTGGTGTATATACATAGGTGCACAAAATTAGAGGACTGGATAAAGAAAATGTGGTGTATATGCACAATGGAATTTGTTTTGATCCATAAAGAAAAAAATTATGTCACCTGTAGGAAAATGGCCGCAACTGGCTATTAAGCAAGTTAACCAGTCTCAAAAAGGCAAATATCGAATGCTTTATCTCATTCATGGTTCCTAGATTTTACATAAATATATAAAATCACATATGCATATATGACACAAAAATAGAAATAAAACTAGGACAGTAAAGGGACTAACAGGAGGGGAGAGGGGAGAGAAAGGGGAAGGTAAGAGAATATGCTCAACAAAATATATACTTGTATGAAGACTTAAAAATATACTTTTTAAAATAATAGGAGATGGGCTAGAGAGATGGCTCAGCAGTTAAGAACACTGAATGTTCTTGCAGAAGAACCAGGTTGGAATCCCAGCACCCACAAGGCAGCTAATAAGTGTCTGTAACTCCAGTCCCAGGGGATCCGACAGCCTCTTCTGACCTCCACGGGCATTGTACGACACGTGCACTTACCTACATGCAGACAATACACACATACACATAAAATAAAAATAATAAATAAATAAAACAGTAGGAGAAAGGATAAAAGTGAATAGACTATCACAAGCAATTTAAAAGATAATGAAATAACTAGTGATGTTCATAACAAGTATGTACCGGGTAACCTAACTTAAAATGAGGGCAGAGCTTTGCAAACAACCTTGACCAGGGCAGAGTTGCTTGTGTTATATGTAGAACTGGTGGTCACTTCTTTTAGAGGATGTAAACTTAACCTGGACTGTTCACTTGAAAATTCTGAATTGTCCTACTCTGAGGACCTGATTCATTCCCTGAGGTCAGACCTTGGCTGGCTAATCTGCCATGACAGACTCTTCTTGAGTCCTTATCTGCCTTCCTCAGTGGGTCAATGTTGTGAAGGATGAAGGAGTCTGGCAGAGTTCATGTTCCTCCCAGGCAGATATCACAGAGCAGCAGGGGCCGTGAGAGAAAGCAGTCAACCCAAAGCCAGAAGTGGAACAGAAGTAGCAAGAGTAAGCAAGAGCACCAGGTAAAATTTTTCTTTTAAATCTTGTCATTATTTTGAGTGTAGTTTGTGTCTGAGAATATTAAAGGCTTAATTTACATGCTAGTATATATTCTAGCTAAGGATAAATTTGTTAAGGAAGATGAGTGATAAATTCTTGAACTTGTGGAAAGGATATACAACTAGACCTAGAATCTCAGAACACAGTCATCTGATGACTGTTATTGGTATTCAAATACCATCAGTGAGACTTGGGAGTCATGAGACTGTAAGCTGGGCACTTCCAAAGTCAGTTAGATTTGTGGTGTAGACCCCACCAGTAAAGGTTACCACAAAGGCAAATTGAAAAATAAGGAAGCCACTTTTAACGAACCTGCCAGAAAATGGAATGGATAGCTTTGGAAGGTAACTAGAGGTGTTCAACAGTTGGATGGAAATTTGTTGGGAGGTAAGAATATTACAAAAGGATTTAAGAGTCAGAGAGATGACTGGATTGGAAGGTCTCTAAAAGCCCTCCTAACACTTTTTGTGATTCTATTTTATAAAAAGAATATTATGGAAATTTTTCCTAAGGAGCCATAAAAAGCATATCTATGTGTATTCATGGAAAAGGCTGACATACTAAAAACAATTCTCCAGTTGATTCTGATGTACATGAAAAAAGTAAGGAGATAACCAAAGACCAAACTGATTCAGAAGAGAGTACAAATCCAGCTGCTTACCTGCTTTTTCCCTCTGAGTGTAAACAGCCTTCACAGGACCCCTGTTTTGCAAACATCACAAGGCACTCTTCTGGAGGAAGACGTTTAGCTTCAGTTAATAAATGTTTTGCTTTACAATTAATCAAGGTCAAGATGGGCGTGGGGTTCTGAAAAGTTTTCCTCAAGAGATCCAGTTTCAATTTAGATGACTGTTCTCTGTCTTAAAGAAAAAGTTGTGTTGGATGTGCGTGGTGGCGCATGACTTTAGTCCCAATACTTGGGAGGCAGAGGTAGGCGGATCTCTGTGAGTGTGAGGCCAGTCTGGTCTACATAATGAGTTCCAGGCCAGCTGGGGCTACTGGGAGACCCTGTCTCCAAACAAAGACCAAAAAAAAAAAAAAAAAAGAAGAAAGAAAAAGAAAAAGGTGTGTTGACCACAGCTTAATGAACAGGTCCCAAAGTCTTGGGCCCATCTTCAAATATATATATATAATGAGTGTTTTTCTTGCATAGATGTAAGTGCACTATATGCACTCCTGGTACCCATGAAGGCCAGAAGAGGGCATCAGACTTCTGAAATGGAGTTAAGGACAGGTGTTAGCTGTCATGTGAGTGCTAGAAACCAAACCTGGATCTTCCTCTGAAAGAGTAGTAAGTGCTCTTAACCTTACTGAGTCACCTCTCCAGCTCCCTCTTTTCCAAATCTTAGAGGCTCCATAGTACAAGACAGAACTATGGTAAGGGAAGGAAAATTTCTGCTTCACCTCACACTGTCTGTGAAAAATGTATACATTTAGAATTTAGAAGACGTGTGAACAGCTAAAACACTTTCTGCATTTGGTATCCATTGGCATTCTTTCAGTGGAACTAGGCTTTTAAAACTGCATAAAATAGCATATAAAATACCAAATTTTGTGAGTTATATGCTTTTTTTTATTTGTTCGTTTGAGACAAGATTTCATATAGCCCAGGCTGGCCTCAAACTTAGCCAAAGATGGTCTTGAACTGCTGAACTTCCTGCCTCCACCTCCCAAATGCTGGGATTGCAGGTGTGAACCACTATGCCTGACCTCAAACTCTTGGTCCTCTGCCTCAGTTTCCAGAGTGCTGAGATTATGGGCAAGTGCTACCATGGCCAGCTGTTTATTCTCATGACAGGATCTCATACAACACACCTACTCTACAACCACACTCCCTGTGTTCTCCACAGATTCTTTTCTTTCACCTTTGAATCATGAATAGAGTCTCCACTGACTTAAACGTCTATTTCTGTGCATACTCTATCAACTTACTTTGGCTCCTGTGCTAATTCATGCAGGGTTGGTGCTTCCTGATTTAAAGTGGAAGATGACTAAAATCTTCAGCAATATACTTTTTCCATTATGGGAAAATATTAAGCATTTACTTTTTATCCATGCCTTGCTAGAAAATCTGTTTGTCAAAATTGTTCAAAAATAGTGCTATGGGACACACCTTTAATCCCAGCACTTGGGAGGCAGAGGCAGGTGGATCTCTGTGAGATCAAGTCCAGCCTGGTCTACATAGCAAGTTCCAGGCCAGCTGGGGCTACCGGAAGACCCTGTCTCAAAAAAAAATATATATATAGTGCTACCAAAGATTATTTCCAAAGCTGGGCCAAGCGGTGCAGACCTGGGTTCTCAGCTTGAGACAAATGGGTTGGAAATGCAGGGTCTCCCAGGACTACAGAGTGAGTTCAAAGCCAGCCTAAGCAGCTTAGTAAGATTCTGCCTCAAAATAGTGAGAAGAGGACTGGGGCTATAGCTCAATGACCGAGTGCATGCCTAGCATGTGCAAGGCTGTATGTTCAGTTTCCATTGCCACTAAAAAAATGTCCAATGTTATAATGTATAGCCAATAATTTATAGCCTTGAAGAAAATACTGTTGTCTCTGAAAGTCTCACTAACATATAAAACATATTTCTGTCCTGGGTTATTTGTAGGAATTCCTTTCTGCTATTATTTGGAGTGCAGAAAATGTCCTATGCTGAGATCACTGTAAAATTGGGCAGAGTTACTTTTGGAGAAGAGAACAGGAAGAAGATGACCAATAGTTGTTTGAAAAGACGTGAGAATTCGAATGTCATCCAGGCCATATGTGCACTGCTGAATTCTGGAGGGGGTGTGATTAAAGCAGAGATTGATGATGAAAAGTACAGTTACCAAGACCACGGGCTGGGCCACGATTTGGAAACTTCCTTTCAAAAGCTCCTTCCTTCAGGTTCACATAAGCACCTTGACTGTATGCAGCAGGGGCGCACACTTCTGATTTTTGTGAGGTCGTGGAATCCCGATGTCTCTAGTTTCCCATTGAGAATTTGCAGCTTGCACTCCAACTTATACCAAAGGGATGTGACCTCTGCTATCAACCTGAGTCCCAGAAATGCTCTGGAGCTTCTCATAGAGAAGGCTTCTAGACCCCAAAGAGGCAGCACAAGACTGTGCCCACAGGAAGCTCTCAACAGACCCACCCAGGAGGAGGAAGATATTAAGAGGTGTGCCTCAGAATTTTTTGAAAAGGTTAAACTCAATTTTAAGGAGAAGCTTAATTTTACAGAGTCAACACATGTCGAGTTTAAAAGGTTCACCTCCAAAAAGATTGTCCCTCGGATTAGAGAGACACTGCCTCATTATGTTTCCGCATTTGCCAACACTCAAGGGGGCTATATAATTATTGGGGTTGATGATAAGAGCAAAGAAGTGTTTGGATGTAAGAAAGAAAAAGTGGACCCCGATTTACTGGAGAAAGAAATAAAAAAGTGCATTAAAAAGCTGCCCACATTTCACTTCTGTCACAAGGCACCCACAGTGACTTTCACAACCAAAATTTTGACGGTGTATCATATAGATGACCCGTATGGTTATGTCTGCATGGTTCGGGTGGAGCCCTTCTGCTGTGTCGTGTTTGCAGAAGACCCAGATTCCTGGATCATTAAGAACATGGTTGTCACGAGGCTGACGGCTAAAGAGTGGGTAGACATGATGATGAATATTCAGCCAGGTAAAAAGAGGGGAGTCATTGTCCAGGCTGTGGGCAAGAAGCTCTTTTTGCCTTTCGAGGGTGTTCGGTCATATAGTTTAGATACATTTTCTTTTGCTTACAAATGGTCTCCCATGACAGGGTTCTTTTTCTGAAATGTTTAGTTCCAAAGACTCAGAATCTGATCTCTTTGAAATTAAAAAAAAAAGTGTGAATTGAAATCCTTTGGGGGAAAGTTATGGTATAGCACCAGCTACGAATTAACGAGTTTTCTTTTATATCTGTAAAGCCCTGTTGAAAAAAGTTTGCAGGCTGAATTTCCTAGTCTAGGCTGAAATAGACCTATTGTCTTGCCTAATATATTCCCAATTTGATAAAAAGAAGTTTAGATTTCCAGGTGTGGTGGTACACTCCTTTAATTCCAGCGCTCAAGTGGCAGAGGCCGGTGGATATACTTGAGTTCGAGGCCAGCCTGATCTACAAGAAAGTTTCAGGCTAGCCAGGACTAGATAGTGAGACTCTGTCTAAAGGGAAAAGAAGGGGCTAGAGAGATGGCTCAGCAGTTAAGAACACTTGCTGCTCTTGCAGAAGACCCAGGTTCAGTTCCCAGCACCCACATGGTGTCTAAGAACCATCCAAAACTCCAGTTCCAGGGGATCCGACACCCTCTCATGACCACTGTGGGCATTGCACGACATGGGTGCACTTACATACATGCAGGCAATACATTCATACACATAAAAATAAAAATAATAAGACGGGAGTGGTGGCGCACACCTTTAATCCCAGCACTCAGGAGGCAGAGGCAGGTGGATCTCTCCCTTGTGAGTTCAAGGCCAGCCTGGTGTACATAGTGAGTTCCAGGCCAGCTGGGGCTACAGGGAGACCCTGTCTCAAAAATACCAAAAAATAAAAACTGAATGAATAAATAAATAAACAAGTAAATTTAAAAGGGAAAAAAAAGAATCTTAGATCATTGGATCAAGGCCAATGATTACAGAATTTATTGCATCACTCTTTTTCTTTTTGACCAGTTTCCTCCCCTCTCCCAGCCAGAGCCCCTTCCACTTTCAATTCCAGGTCACCTTGGATGGAGACTTAAATGAGTGCAACACTAAGAACCTCTGCCGCCCCTTCCAGCACTTGACTGCCTGCAATCCCCATGGTGGTCTCTACTCTTCTCTGCCTCCCTCTTCTGGGTGGTTGCCGCGATTTGCAGCTTCCTTGCCCTGTTGTTTTTCTCTCAGACTCTAACAAAATTGTTCTTAAAAAACAACCGTGCTTTACATAACCTTTGTTGACCCCTAGTTGCTTCCCTTTCTTCTTACAGACGACCTGGAATCAGTGTATTAGAGTCGGAAGGAAACTCGGGCATCAGCACCTTAGGGGAGAGGTGAAATGCCTTGCTTGAAATGAATCACAGTGAGTTAGACTACGAGAGATGTGATAGTAGTTCCCAGAGACTTTTCCTGACATGAAAAGCTGTTCTAGGCACAGCAGCCTGGGCTCCATGCACATCATGTTTCCTGAAGAAAGAATGAAACTTCTTTTACTTTCGATTTTGCTTTTTGTCTGAAACCACTTTCCATGTAATTCTTTAGATCCTTCCAGTTTGGCTGCCAGCCTCAGTGCTCACCCGATTCCATCAGCTTCATCAGGACTAAGAAGCCCAGCATATCTCACAAAAGTTCAGGAATTTAAGAAGACTCTGCAGCAACATTTTTTTCCAGGTGGTATATCCCCTCCCCCCCTTCTCTCCTCTCCTTCCGTATCACTTTAAGGGGAGAAGGAGCACCCTGTCAATTGTAAGATGTTCATGGCATCCTTAGCGCCTGCTCATCAGTAGCCTCTCTAGTCGAAACAGTTAAAACGTCTTCAGTGTCAGGTATTTCCTAGGCAGGAGGCAAAATTACCGTTGGTTAAGAATTACTGTTCCAAAAGCAAACTTACACTTTTCCAAAAACATCAGGTTCAGAGAAAGCTCTTAACTGAGAGGAGTGCCTTCCTACAGTTGTAGACCCTCTGGGACTGAGGGAAAGGCTCTCTGGAGCCCTCTATTCTGTGAAGACTTCTTCCTGAGAGTTTCCCCTGAGCTAGAGCTGCCAGATGGGAGAACTTCTAATCACAGCCTTGAGGATGTTCTCTTTGTAACAGGAAAACCATGATTCCATGACTAGAGTCATCCTTTCTTAAAAGGTGCAAGAGTAGCACAGTAAAACTTGTTAGTTTTGGTAACTTCTGTTCCTTGGCTTTTCAGTGACGCAGGAAAACCTACAATTTAAGCCAGAATCCCTCTGTAAGAAGCTTTTCTCGGATCATATAGGACTGGAGGAATTAATGAAGACCCAGACAGGTCCATGTTCTCAGGGGTTTGTGATATTTTCCAGAAGCTGGGCTGCTAATATTGGTTTAACAGAAGAACAGAATGTCTTGTGTGATGCTCTCCTGATAGCAGTTAATAGCCCCCCGGTACTCTATTCAATCTTAATGGATACCAGCTGGGATGGAAGCTCTGCATATGCTCACAACACTGCTCTTCAGTTAAAGCAGAAGCTACAAACTGTTGGTGGCTATACAGGGAAGGTCTGTGTCATTCCAAGGCTGCTCTACCTGACCAGCAGAGAGTGCGGAGCCGATGAGTTCCCTGTGTACCCCCGATGCTACACACTGGCCAATGGGGCTGAAGTGGAGGATTTGCTGCAGGCCCTTGTGGTGGTCTCCCTGGGTTTCAGATCTCTTCTGAGTGATCAGCTGGGCTGTGAGTTTTTCAACCTTCTTATAGAAGAGCAATTTGAGTCACTTTCCAAGAGTCTTCAGGAAACCCGGGAACTCTTCATCTATTGCCTTCCAGGTACCAGGAAGACAGCTCTAGCCATAAAGATCACGGAGAGAATTAGGGATGTGTTCCATTGCAAACCAGAAGAGATCCTCTATGTTTGTGAAAATGACTCCCTAAGGAATTTTGTGATGTAAGAATTTTACCATCTTTTTCATTTTTTTAAGTCCTTTCAACAGTATCACAAACATAATTTGTGTTTTAAGATTTCACAATGCCTGTCACTGTGTAAGTGCAAGAGCCTAAGCTAAACACATATTTCCAAATGACCAGATGGTTAAGCTTTGAAGGAGTAATTTACACTGTTGAAACGCAACGTGTTATAAATGAGCCAGTTATGTTTTGACATTTGTTTCTTTGTTTGATTTTTTTTTTTTTTTGAGACAGAGTCTCACTATGTAGACCAAGTTGGCCTTGAACTCACAGAGATCCACCTGCTTCTGCCTCTCGAGTGCTGAGATTAAAGGTATGCACCACCATGCCTGGATGCTTGTTTGATCTTTGAGACAGGGTCTTTCTGTGTGGGCTTAAACTCAGTCTTCCTGCCATAGATTCCTGAATACTGAGATTACAGCTGTGCCCCACTGTGGCCAGCCATGACTTAATTTACAGAAGTAGAAACATTTTCCCCACAATCTGTGACCTTAAATATAGGAAAAACAGAAATAAACCTGCCTTTTTTTTTGGTCTTTTTGAGACAGGGTCTCCCTGTAGCCCCAGCTGTCCTTAAACTCACTGTGTAGACCAGGCTGGCCTTGAACTCACAGAGATCTGCCTGCCTCTGCCTCCGGAGTGCTGGGATTAAAGGCGTGCACCACCACGCCTGGCTTTAAGTATACTTTTTACTGGATACTTAATACTTTAGTTATAAGATTAGTCACCATATTGAACAGGAATTTAAATTTAATTTCCTTTATAGAAAACTTGTATGTTTGACTTGTTCTATACTCATAATTTTAGAAAACAAGTAAATTTGATTCTTCTTGAAATCTCTAGCTTTCAATTAAAAAAATTATTATTTATTATTTTATGTGTATGCATGTATTGCCTGCATGTAGGTAAGTGCACCCGTGTTGTGCAATGCCCGGGGAGGACAGAAGAGGCTGTCAGATCCCCTGGAATTGGACTTATGGACAGTTGTTAGCTGCCATGTAGGTGCTGGGATATGAACCCGGGTCTTCTGCAAGAACCATCTATGTTCTTAACCACTGACTCATCTCTCCAGCCCCATCTAGCTTTCAATTTAGTAAAATAAATTGGAAATTATACAGTTTAGCAGAGAGGGAAAATTCATATTGGTTTGGATTTGGTTTACTTATTATTTTTAAAATATTTTATTTATTATTTTTATTTTATGTGTAAGAGTGTATTGCCTGCATGTATGTGAGTGCACCCGTGTCGTGTAATGCTGTGTAGGTCAGTCTAGGGCTTCATATTCCCCTGGAACTGAAGTTAAGGACGGTTTGTAGCCACCATATGGGTGCTGGGAATCAAACCTAGGTCCTCTGCAAGAGGGTCTTCTGCAAGAACCATCTGTGTTCTTAACCGCTGAGCCATCACTCCAGCCCTGGTTTACTTATTTATTAAAAAATATTTCTGAAGCCAGGCATGGTGGCGCACGCCTTTAATCCCAGCACTCCGGAGGCAGAGGCAGGCAGATCTCTGTGAGTTCAAGGCCAGCCTGGACTACATAGTGAGTTCCAGGACAGTTGGAGCTATAGGGAGACTCTGTCTCAAAAAGACCAAAAAAAGAAAAAAATTTTTTTTTTTGAGCTAGCCGGGCATGGTGGCACACTCCTTTAATCCCAGCACTAGGGAGGCAGAGGCAGGCAGATCTTTGTGAGATTGAGGCTATATATATATATATATATTGAGCAGTATTTATGTTAGATGCTGTTACATGTAGTGTTAGGGGGAAAGCATAATGAAGACTACCATTAAAAACAAACAATGCAACTGCTGAGTTATTGGTATTATAATAAAGATTGGCTTAACATAGGCTGTAGGTAGGTCAGCAAATACTCCACAGGGAAGGAGACCCTGGAGCACACACCCAAGAAATCAGTAGGAAGCCAGGAGTAATGGTGCATGCCTGTAATCCCAACACTTGGGAGACTGAAGCAAAAGGATTGAGAGTTTGAGGCCAGCCTGGACTATACAGTGAGACCCTGCATCAAAAGCAGACAAATAAGCAAAAAGCAGTAGGAGAAGTAAATGAGATGGGGAGTGCTCTGTAGGCCAAGGCACATCAAGTTCAAAGGCATAGACACCAGGAAACAAGACTCGTGAGTCTAACTGGAATAGAACTAGAGTATGGGTATGTGAAGATGGTGGTGTTGGAAAGGAGACAGATGCTAGATTATGGAGGCAACCGTGCTAAGGGATATAAGCATGATTAAGCTCTATAGCTACATTTTTTAAAATATCTCAGTCAAAGCCAGAGCAATGGCTCAGTGGTTAAGAGCAATGGCTGCTTTTGCAGAGGACCTGGGATTGGTTCCCAGCATCCACGTGGAGGCTAACAACTGTCTGTAACTCCAGTTCTGGGGATCTGATGCCCTCTTCTGGCTTTCACAGGCATTGCAGGAAATGGGTGCACTTACATACATGTAGGCAAAACCCTCATACACATTAAAAAAAAAAAGTAATGGTGGATGCCTTTAATCCCAGCACTCAGGAGGCAAAGATAGGCAGATCTCTGTGAGATCAAGGCCAGCCTGATCTACATAGAGATTTCCAGGCCAGCTGGGGCTACAAGGAGACCCTGTCTCAAACAAAACAAAATAGAGCAGTAAATAAATAAGAAGAATAAACAAATTATTTCTCAGTCAAAGGCTAATCACCAAAATACATATTAAAGCCCTAATATGGGGAAGGTATGAAGAGAGCTAAGAATCAGTGATTCTCTTCAAGAGCCCACACAGTCCAAGCTAGAAGAGATGGACATAGTTATGAATCAAACATAGGGAGTGAAGCCCCAGGAACTGCACAGGCAGAATCTGTTGAGTGGTTCCAATTTAGAGAATGCAATAAACAAAACATGCATTAAGCATATCCGTGTCGCATATATATATGCTGCAACATGCTGCAAAGAATCATTGATCGAAGAGAGGACTAGCCCATTAATTTTTAACTCTATGTGAAGGAAGCTGGTAACCTCAGTGTTTTTCTTGCTAAAAACCCAGAAAAAAGTGAAGAAATAGAACTTGCTACACAGAAAATTTGAATTAGCACACATGTCTTTTTCATATAAAGATTATGCTATATCTCTAGGTGACTGCGCTCTCATTCTAAAATGGACACTTGAAGTGGTAGTAGGACTGGAGAGATGGCTCAGTGGTTAGGAACACTGGTTATTCTTGCAGAAGACCCGGTTTGAGCACCCACATGGCAGCTAACAACTGTCCGTAACTCCAGTCACAGGGGATCCGACATTGCATGACATGGGTGCACTTACATGCAGGCAATACACGAATACACATAAAATAAAAATAATAAAGTATTTTTTAAAAAGAAGTGGTAGTAATAGGTATAAATTCCTTTGAGTTTTCCTGTATCTGTAAGGATTTTGTCTTCTAGGATTTGCCAAGCATCATTAATGGACTGGTAGAAATAACATGCTTTCTTACCTTTTTGACACAAGGTATTGCTATGTAGGCTAGGTTGGCCTATACTCATTATGTAGCCCAGGCTAGCTTTAGACTTAGGATCTTCAGCCTCCTGAGTGCTAGGATTATAGGCACAAATCGCCATACCTCACTTTCTATTTTATTTGTTAATTACTATTAGTACTACTGCAGTACCAGAACTTGAACTCAGGGCTTTGGGCATGCTAGGCATGTGCCTTACCACTGAGCCAAATCCCCAGCTTCTATCTATTTTATAACAATGAAAGTTTCACATGAAGATTTAGCTAAACAGTTCCAAAGATAATGCAATAATCTGTATTCTGTCAGGTAACTTGTGAGTAGTTTTGTGGCATTAATACTATTGAATTAATGAATCAGTCTGCAACAGAAAGTTAGCTTCTATTTTCAATTCAGAGACTAATGAAAGCTGGTGTTCTCTTTGTTCATATGCCTAAAGCTTTGTTCTCTCTTTTATGGTTACAGCCAGCAAATCACCTGCCACACTGTGACCCAGAAGACCTTTATGCAAGAGGAGTTCCCAAAGATTAAGCACATAGTGATGGGTGACACTGAGAATTTCTGCAGTGAATACACCGATTGGTACAGGAAGGCCAAGAGCATCACCCATCCAACAGTGAAAGGGGCTGGAAGTGAAAACCTTCATCGTGGAATTCTCTGGATGTTTCTGGACCCTTTCCAAGTCCGTCATGCAGATGCTAATAGCCTCCCTCCTCCTTGTGCTCAGTTTCCTCGAAAAATGATCACCCATGAGATCTATTGTGCTCTGGAAATAGCAAAGATCATGAAAGAAGAAATGAAGAGGATCCAGGAAAACCCTCCCTCCAACATGTCTCCAGACCTGTTGGCAATGTTCCAGGATGCCACCTATGAGAAAGCAATGTGTGCCCAGGCTCTGCCAGGTGTGTGTGAGATCGAGATTAACCTGACAATGGAACAAATAACCAACCATGTGGCAGAACGATGTCACAGCCTTTTCCACTGTGGCTATCTGCCCAAAGATGTAGCAGTTCTGTGCAGGAGAGAGGAGGACAGAGAACGGTATAAGGACGCATTGCTAAGAGCAATGGCTAAGGAAGCAAAAGAGCTAATGTTCAGCCGTGCTGATGGTGTATGTAGCAGCAACGTCATTTTAGACAGTGTTCAGCAGTTTTCAGGCATGGAGAGGAACATCGTGTTTGGGCTTAGTCCAGAATGTGCCCAGTCCGAGGAATTTCATAAACTCTGCTTTGCCTCAAAAGCCATTAAGCACCTCTACCTGCTTTATGAAAAGAGGTGAGCCTTCTGAAAATTATTATAAATAACACAGGAAGCCAAAAATGAGCAATCCTTCCTCTGATGGTGGCAGCTACTCCTTTTCAATATTACAAGTAAGGAAATTAAGGCATTTTATTATGGCCTGGGGCCATGGGAATGTCTTTTGGGGCAATTCTTCAATTTATTTGCAGTGTCTCTGTCCTTCACTCAGTCCACTTCTCTTTCCTGTACAAATACCACAAACATATATAATCGGTCCCCTGCCTCCAATTTTCCTGGATCAACCCAGTTCATCCTGTCATCATCCTGTCACCTGAAGATTATCAAAGAGAGCAGAATTGGTGAAATTCTCTGCTCATGTACTTCCAGGGAATCCCAGAGCCTTCAGACCAGATCAATTTCCAAGGCTTTCCATGAAGCTGATTTCCTCTACTGACCTCATCCTTGATCATGCCTCTATCTCCTAGTGTTTTGAATGCACTACAACCCCAGTAGCTATTTTGTGAGTGATGGAAAGGTATCCTCTAGGCCAGTTACTTTGACTGGGTGTCTCAAAAGTAGCACTTAGGCTAGCATCTCATACAGGCTATGGGCCTCACGTATCAGGTCCAAACTTGCTTTCCTCCTTGTACTAAGTCTAGATCAGTCTCTCGTTGTTGGTTTTATGCTAATCAAGAACTCAAAAGACCAACACATGAGTGTAAATTCCATTCAGTATACGATGAGAATTATACTAACATGTGGGCTAGGGCCTTTGCTAATCTGTGCATTCACCAAGAACATAGGAAACAGAGCCTTGCAGTAAGAGCAGCTAGAGTCTAGCCTGAACCTCATGGTCAGCTGTCCTGGGCATAGATTAGACAGAAAAAACAGAAAAATCCCCTACGTCCTATAGCTCTAAGAGAGAGAACTCTCTCTCTCTCTCTCTCTCTCTCTCTCTCCATACATATGTATGTGTATATTGCTACATTGCCTTAATATGGTGAATAGTACAATTCATTTAAAAAATAACTAAGATAAAAAGTTATTTGTGGTATGAAGCATCTAAAATATTTTATGAGCAGGTAACATAACATGATCATATAAGTTTGAGAAATTGAAAAATAAAAAAAGATTAAAACATTCTTAAATCATCTCGTTATCCAAGTATATTTTAAAAATTTTATTTTGTGTGTATGGGTGTTTTGCCTGTGTGTATAATTGCATCTGTGCTATGCAATGCCCACAAAGGTCAGAACCCCTGGAACTGGCATTAAGGACTGTTGTTAGCTGCTATGTGAGTGCTGGGAACTGAACCCAGGTCCTCTGCAAGAGCAACCAGTGCTCTTAACTGCTAAGCCATCTCTCCAGCCCCCAGGCCTATTTTTTTTGTTTTTGCTGAATTTCTACTCTTTTTTTTGATACTTTCACATACATTGCAAGTTGTGCAATCAACTTCACATCCTGCATGTGTGCTTTTTCCATTTAATTTTGTGAAGCATTGTTACATATTATATCGTTGTTGTTAATACTTCATATTACCTATATCTAGACCCTTTGTAGATCCTGGCATTAGAACTAGAAAGAGTTTCCTATCCTCTGGTGTGGGCTTGATCATGTCACTTGTTTTGTCCAATGAAATGTCAGTAGTTGCTATGTGCACAGAGGCTGACTGTATGTTTTCAGCACTGTGTTCACTGTTTGGGTTTCTGCTGAACATGTCTTCCATGACTCATCAGTTGCAGAGGAATGAGAGAGGTAGGAAGCCAATCTGAACTCAGTTTATAGCCTGGGGCCAAGTTCAACCAACTCCAAGGCATGCTGGTGAAATCATAGCTGACTGCAAATGCATAAATGAGGAACAAATGTCTTTCACTTTATGATTGAACTTTCAAGGTATTTTTTTTTTTTTTGGTCTTTTTGAGACAGGTCTCCCAGTAGCTCCAGCTGACCTGGTGGAACGCATTATGTAGACCAGGCTGGCCTCGAACTCACAGAGATCTGCCTGCCTCTGCCTCCCGAGTATGCCACCATGCCCAGCTCAAGGTAGTTTTTTTTTTAAAAAAATTATTTATTATTATTTTTTACGTGTATGTGTGTATTGCCTGCATGTGGTAAGTGCACCCATGTAGTGCAATGCCCACGGAGGACAGAAGAGGCCGTCGGATCTCCTGGAAATGGAGTTACCAACAGTTGTTAGCTGCCCTGTGGGTGCTGGGATTCGAATCTGGGTCTTCTGCAAGAACATTCAGTGTTCTTAACCGCTATCTCTCCAGCCCCTCAAGGTAGTTTTACAGCAGCAGCACTTCTCCATGTTAGAGCATGGAGTGCAAATTATCCTTTTTAATAGCTGTCCAACACCCCAGTCAGATCCTGAAATTTCATCAACCTCTCTTATTGTCTTTATCACTAGCAATTTTACACTATTAAAATTAAGCCAGACACATAGGCATTCAAGCTCTTCTTTTTCTGTTAGATTTATAAATACCCAGAGACAGTATTACTAGCTCAAAAAGGTGGGCCAGAGAAAAGAATCGCCTTGTATACATTGGTTCTGATGGGAAGTGCACAGAAAACCCAATCATTGTGTTAACTATAGTTCTTGTTTGCTTGTTTGCTTGATCTATCCCCCAGCACTGGAGTTCAAACCCAGAGTCTTGTACATGTTAGACAAGTACTCTACCACTGAGATACATCCCTGGCCTGCCCTTGATTTTTTTTTGAAACAGGATCTCACTATGTAATACCTAGGTTCTGGGATCACAGGCATGCACCACTATGCCTAGCCAATATATATAATTTTCTCTCCCTCCCCCGCCTTAAATAATAGGAAAAAATGCCATCAGCATCTGATGACAAAACATGAATACTCATGTCTCAGAAACAGTTGATTCTGCAAGGTGTGTGGAGAATAGAGCCATGCCTCCCACCCTAATCCAGAATCCCAAAGAAGAACTTAGAGAATTGTGGACAGGAACATGAATTGTTAACCTTGACATTGCATAGATACAGTTTCAGAGAAAAGAAAAGATGCCTCTGATCATTAATGGGACATTTCTTAAAATTTTTATTAAATTAAAATAATATTTTATTGGGGCTGGAGAGATGGCTCAGAGGTTAAGAGCTCTGGCTTGGCTGCTCTTGCAGAGATACCCACATGGCAGCTAACAATCATCTGTAACTCTAGTTCCAGGAGCTCCCACACCCTCTTCTGGACTCTGCAGGTAATGGGCATGCACATTTTACATGTATATATGCAAGCAAAACAGTAATAAATAAAAATAATAAATCTTTTCTTGTCAGATATATATATTATTTTGCTCACCAAAGTACAACGATTTTTAAATCCTCTTAAACAAATAACTATGAAAATTCCAGAAAATAAAATAAAAAGAGGAAATATAACCATTAGATTGCTTTTTCTAATTTATTCTAACACTATATTTAGCCCAGAAAACAAAACAAAATCCCAGACCTCAAAATGTTATTAAAATGAGAACTGAGGGGCTGGAGAGATGACTCAGTGGTTAAGAGCACAGACTGCTCTTACAGAGGACCTAGGTTCCATACCCAGTACCCACATGGTGGCTAACAATTGTTCGTAACGCCAGTTCCAGAGGACCTGACCCCTTCTTCTGACCTCCATGGGCATTGCATGACACGGGTGCACTTACACACATGCAGGCAACACATGTATACACATAAAAATACTAAATAAAATAAAAAATAATAAATCTTTTTAAAATTAAAAGAAAGGAGCTTGAGAGATGGTTTAAGCATGCAGTCATGAGGACCTGAGTTCAAGCTCTAGCATCCATGTAACAGCTGTGCATGGTGATACAGGCCTGTAATCCTAGCACTGTGGGGACAGAGACAGGCAGATCTCTGGAGCTCATTGCCAGCTAGTCTAGGCCAATTGATGAGCTCTAGGTTCAAAGACAGAATGTCTCCAAAATTACAGTGGAGAGAAACTGAGGAAAATATCCAACATCAACCTCTGGCCTCTACAGACACACACACACACACACACACACACACACACACACACACACCTGCACATGTACAAGGAGGCAGATCTACTAAAATGTATAATACACACACATACACAAGACAGAAAAAAAAGGAACATAAATCACCAAAGGGAAATAATATTAAACTTGTAAATATTTGAAATGATATCAGAAACTCCAGACACAAGAGCTTGTCCATCACAGCAGATGCAACCCCCTTGCGTATATGTTACTATAAAGGAGGAGCATCCCTTGATTCAGATGTGGCGGGCACACTGACCAATCACCCCATCATTTGTTGTGAGTCTCATCCAGGAAAACTGACACAGAGAAGGACCTCCACCCCTGTTCCTGGGCTACAGCTCAAGCACGCTTTCTCCTCCCTGAGACACACTTCATGTGGACGTTGGAACCTGCATCCAGCCAGACCTGTATTTGACAAGTGCGCCCTGAATGTGTTGTGTCTGCGGTTCCTGAGACTTCTTACTGGTCCTCTGCAGAGGCCTTTCCTTGCGTCCGTGGTAGCTCTTTGCCTCCATCTTCAGTACCGCTCCCCTGAACACTGCAGCCTCTTTAGCCTTTTTATATTCATTCTGTAACCTATACATGTACGTGCAAATTCATATTATTACACAATTCATACCCATGTTATAGCATGAAGTGTAATGTATAGTCTGAGGACCAATATTAGTGATTTATATGGGAACAAAAGAGCCTGTTTGCCAATGGCCATGATTAGCAAGTGACATCAGTAGTACCAAGTGAATCAAAGTCAATCAGACAAGTGTAACTTGTGAATTTCTTGCTATTTAATCAATTATATATATGTATATATATTTAAGAATTATGTATTTATCTTATGTATGTTTGTGTGCCTTGAGTGTATGTAAAGGTCCCCACAGAGGCTAGAAGAGGACGTTAGAGCTCTGAGCTGTCTGATGGAGGTTCTGGGAACTGAATCCAGGTCCTCTGCAAGAGCTCCAAGGGCTCTTAACCACTGAGCCATCTCTTCAGCCCAATAAATTCTGACATTGTGGAAAAAATACAATGTGTCTGTGCATTCTTCTGACATAGCTTGCTGGAGCAGGGGCTGTCCTCCATCTTAAAGTCCCCAGTTGTGTGTCACCTCTCCACACTGACCTGTTTTCTTTCCCTGATTCTGATTTTTCTGTCTCTGTCTTATGATGATCCTTGTGATTTTATAGAGCCAACCTAGACAATACAAGATAATCTCCTCATAAGAGTCTCAATCAGCTGGACATGGTTGCACACTCCTTTAATCCCAGCACTCTGGAGGCAAAGGCAGGTGGATCTCTGTGAGTTCAAGGCCAGCCTGGTCTACATAATGAGTTCCAGGACAGCTGGGGCTACAGGGAGACCCTGTCTCAAAAAGACAAAAAAAAGAGCCTCAATCAAATCACATCTGCAAAGTCCCTTTCTCCATGCAAGGTAAGAAATCCACAGGAGCCAGAGCTTCACAGACAGGCATTGTGGGGGAAGGATGTCTCTATTTCAGCTAATGTATATCATAGTGCATCTTTTGATAAGATCGATTAAAGGCCAGAATAGGTTACCACTGCCTATGCAAAACTCAGGTGATGAGAACTGTTATGCTTCAGAAATGCAGCTACACAAAGAGTTCATCTCTTCATTCATGGAGGAAATTTCAACATTTTTATGTTAATGATAAGTGCTTACAAGCAAACAACATTGTATACAACTTTATGGGTCTTATATCTGCCGCACAGAAAATGTGAAGATAAAATGGATAGCATATCAAAAAAAAAATTTTTTTTGTCTTTTTGAGACAGGGGCTCCCTGTAGCCCCACATAAGCCTGGAACTTGCTATGTAGACCAGGCTGGCCTTGAACTCACAGAGATCCGATTGCCTCTCCCTCCTGGGTGCTGGGATTAAAGGCGTGCGCCATCACACCCAGCAGGAAACACTCTTAAAAACTGAAAATTCAGCCCATGAAAAAGCAGATTCCAGCAGAGATTGAGCATGCTCTGTTGCATAGTGTCATTCCTGGGATCCGACAGAATCTCATGACTGTTAACTGTCTTCTGAAGTCTTGCATTCAACAACTACATTTTTTTCTTTAAGACCTAGTGCTCCTTGTACAAAATTATACATTCTTCATTTCTGCTCCTTTTGAAAATCTCCTATATCCAATATCTGCTGCTCTGAGAAATTTCTATGTAATCATCTTCATATGCTCGGTGCCTCCCTTTTGTGATTTGGGGCACGTGGAAAGCTCTTCCTCAGGCACTCACATACAAATCACCTATTTAACAGAAATACAGCTGAACAGTAATGCCTGATCACGCCAGGGACACATCACCAGAAGCTTCTTTAGCTTCTCTGAGAAGTGCAACTTCAACTCAGTAAAAACATCTGGCATTTCATTGTCAGGAAGGAATGACCATACAGACAGTAATACATTTTTAAAAAAGATTTATTTTTTTATGTATATGAATGTTTTGCCTGTATCACATGCATGCAGTACCCACAGAGATCAAAAGAGGGCACGAAACCCCTGGAACTGGAGTTACAGAGGGTTGTGAGCTGCCATGTGGGTGCTGGGAACTAAATCTATGACCTCTGTAAGAGCAGCAAGTGTTGTTAATCACTGAACCATCTCTCCAGCCCCTAGTGACACAATTTTTCTTCTTTATTGCATTTTATTAGCATATATTAATTTAAATGATAATGGTTTCTTTGTGATATTATGCAGCTCTTGTTAGACTATCATACTGTGGATTTCATTGGTGTAACTTCCCTAACATGTCTAGAATGCATGATAAGTTTCTTATCCCTCTGGCTCTTATATTCTTTATCCACACACTGTCCCCTACCCGCCCCATCCTTCCCTGATGTTCCCTGAGTCTTAGGTGTAGAGGTTGAATTGTAGATGTGTCACTTAGGGCTGGGCACCTCACAGTCATTTATTCTCAGCTTTCCAGTGACACTTTTTTTTTTAAGTTCAAGAGAAATTTTGTTGTTTCAATTTCATACAATGAATTTTGATTATAATCAGACCTCCTCCCCCATTTCCATCCCCACCCCATCGTTGACTTCATGTCTTCTATTAGCAAATGAAAAACTCCATCCATCTTACATAAAATCTCTGAGCTGGGTGCCAGAGAAATAATTCCATTAGAGTGTCTGTGATCTACAATTCTTACAGAGAGGTATTCCAAAGTAAGGGTCTACTCCCTTTCCTTTGAACGTTGTTTTGGGTCAGAATATGCCCAATTTCTTGGAATGGAATTTTCACTCTTAATTTCTGTTTCTTACACATTGCTTAGGAATGTCAAGCAGGGATTTTTCTTTTTCTCAGAAGTCAGAAATGCTTGGTTTTCATTAGTTGTTTGCAGCCCTTGCATGCAGGTTACGCTTTGGCTGTTTCCAGGCCTCACTCAGCACAATGACCGACTGTGGACCAAGGCGCTCTCCAACAGGTTGATTTCCCTCAGGGTTTTACTGTGGGAAAAAGCAGAAGCTAGGTCCTCACAGCAGGCACAGTTAGCTCACAGGTCCCCAATCTGAGATTCTCTGAGTGGCAGTTGGGAAGTTTCACAGCTTCATGTAACAGCTTTACACCAGTGTCCTCTAGTTTATTTTCTGAAATCTGTAGACTTCTCAGATTCCTAATCTTGTTGACGACTGCAGCCAGGTCTTGACAGCCACTGGGTGATGATGATGGTGGGCTGACCATGGCTGTCACCAGGGTACGTGGATGGGCAGGCTGCCCCACCAACGTGCATGGGTGGCCATGCTGGTGTGGCTCTTCTGGCATCCAGGCTGGCTCCACAGTCCTTGTACGCATCAAAATTCATATCGAACAATGAGTTCTAGGTTGCAAAAGGGGATTTATTTTTGTGCCTGTCTTTCATACATTTGTCCACCAGTCGAACAAGCACACACACAAAATGCTTTCCAGTGACACATTTTTAAAAAACATTTATTTATTAATCTTATTTTATGCATATGAGTGTATTGCCTGCATGTATGTAAGTGTACCCATGCCATCCGATACCCGTGGAGGTCAGAAGAGGGCGTTTGATCCCCTGGAGTTATGGATGGTTCTTAGTTGGCACGTGGATTTTGTCACTCTTCAGAAAATAATCTGGTTGTATGTGTTGAAAATCTCAGAAGCCAAATGATTGTACAGCTTAGAGAACCATACTGATTTTATCCAGAGCTATCTGCAAGTTTCCTACTGTTTTCATTGTTAGATAATAGGTTCTGGGATAATATATTTTTGATCCTGAATGATATGTAGGTACTATATTATGACCCAAGTACATCTTTATCACAATTCCTATTTTCTCAGTGTAACCACCAAGGCTCAGCAGCTTCTGCTTTAAAGTGAGGGCAGCTCATTTAGAATGATCCTTTAGCTTGTCACCTAGTTCCCTCAGAATAGTGCATTCGCCTTCCAACTCCTCCCCTACCCCAATGAAGGTGGGCAGGGTTGGTAGACTGCCTTCAGAAATATGAAGAATATTATAGCTGATACACTTGATTTCTTGTGAGCCCAGATTCAAAGGCCAGCTCTTGGAGGAGATCAGTGTTATTTGATGAAGAGAGCCCATTTCTGCCTGTATTAACTGTTCAAGTGCTTTGGGTTTTGAGAACAGCTCTGAGCAGAGGGTTTCAGGAAAATATATCATCTTCCCGGAGGCCACTAGAAAAGAAATAAAGGTAACAAATTATAAAAAGGAAACATTTGGAATGCCCTTTGTAAGCCATGACCAAGTAGCTTGTATAGTACCATACTTCCCACCAAAATCAGAAAGTATATGTAGTCTACTAAGCTGCAATTTAAAGCCATGGAGAGCCACCAATGAAAGAGGACAGCTGGGGCTACAGGGAGACCCTGTCTCAAAAAGACCAAAAAAAAAAAAAAAGAAAGTAAAAATGTTTGGAGTTTTCCAAATTCCACCCTTCACTCTGTACCATCCCACACTCCCATGGCTAGCTGGAGTGGCACAGCCCTCCCACCTATCTAGATGGTCTCACTCTCTGCTATCCCATATTCACAGGTTTAGCTCAGGTCTGGCAGTCCACACACCGCCCACCTGAATGGCTGAGTTTCTAAATCCTAGCATTCGCTCTCTGCCATCCCACACTCCAAGGCCTATATCAGATTATGGACGTTAGCCACCTGTCCAGACTGGTGAGTCCCCCAATCCCAGCTTTCTCTCTTCACTATGCTACACTTGATTCTCTAGCTCGATTCTCACAGCCTGAGCACCTGCCCAGACTGCAGCTATCCCTCCCACCTCACCATTCTGGGACCACAAGTCAGACCTAGAACCACAAGCCCAGACATTGCACCTATCTCTAGTTGAACTGAGACCATTTGCACACCAACACAAAGTAACCCCAAGATTGAACATAAAGGACCACTCAGCTAGGCCATAACTGGACAAGTTGGGGCAACAGCAAACAAAGATCTTCCAAACATCCACTCAACAAAGGCAAGATCAGATATGTATTCCAAGAAATACCGTCAGTGACATAGCTTCAGGTGCCTAGGTCCCATCACAAGATGAATGACCAGGACAATACTTCTCCTCCAGAAATTAACATCCCCATCACATGGTTTCTCAAGGAAAGCAACCTCACCAATGCACAAGACACAAGACAATGATTTCAAAATAGCAATTATAAGCCAGACATGGCAGCATACGTCTTTCTCCTCGCACTCAGGAGACAGATGCAAGTAAGTGGATCTCTGTGAGACAGAGGCAGCCTGGTCTACATAGCAAGCTCCAGGCTGGCTGGAGCTACAGGAAGACTGTGTCTCCAAAAAAAAAGGGTGGGGGCGGCAATTATAAATATCTTGAAGGAACTAGAAGAGGATATGAATAAAAAAACGCAAAAACACAAACAATTGAATGAAATAAGTAAAACAACTCAAGATATGAAATTAGAATTTAATAATGAGATATAATATCTGAAGTAATTCAAATTGAAATAAAATTTGAAGTGAAAAACTTAGGAAGTCAAATGAAAAGCTCAGAGGAAAACTTCACCAATAGATTGGATAAACTAGAAGAGAGAATATAAGATCTTGAAGACAAAGTAGAGGAAATGGATCACTCAAAGAAAATGTGAAATCTAAAGTCACTCAGGAAGGGAATGTAAGAATTGGGACTATGGGACTAAAAGAAAACCTGTGACTCACAGAAAGAGAAGACGGAGAAGAAACTCCGGGTGCTGGAAATGGAATAAAATACCAGAAAATGGAATGACCTCACATGTTCATGGCTTGATAGGATCAATTTTGTAAAAATGGCCATTCTATCAAAAGTAATCTACAGATTCAACACAATCCTCACCAAAATTCCATAGCAATCCTTAACAGAAATTGAAAAAATAATTTTAATTTCATATGGAAACACAAAATTTCCAGGATAGCCCAAACAATCTTGAACAAAGAACTAGTAATATCACCATCAGTGGTTTTAGGTTATACTACAGAGCTAGAGTAATCAAAACACCATGGTACTGGCATAAAAACAGACTCAGATATAAGTCCACACACCTATAACCACTCGAGTTTTGACAAAGAGGACAAAAATACACCCTGGAGAAAAGACATCTTCAACCAATGATGCCATCAAACTAGATAGCTACATGTAGAAGAATGAAACTATTTCTCACCATGCACAAAACTCAAATCCAAATGGATCAAGGACCTCAACATGAGACCTGATACCCTGAAGCTGATAGATGAGGGAGTAGAGAATACCCTGGACCTTATAGGTACAGGAAAGGACTTTCTGAATAGGACCCAAATATGAAGGGACTGTGAAACAGTGTTCTTACTGCTTTAAAAATATGCTTGGTGAATTAAGCTGAACCTTGAGCATTTATGTCTGGAGAGCCTTGTGTCTCATGAGAAAGTTTATGCAAGAATGTTTGTTGGGGAGTTATCTCCAGGATGTTGGTGCTTCCCTAGTTTCTCAGGAGACACTTCGATCTCCCAAGAAGGCATACTATGGGGTGATAATGTTATTTTGCTCATTATATTTTTCCTGAACTGCTATATTGTAGCCACTTTATTACTGTTCACTGTTCTGCAAACATTCCACTGTAGCTCTGATGGGTATGAGAGTAAAAGCAGAGCTGCTGACACAATCAGCGCTCAGGTACATGGAAGCCCTGGGTCCCCTGGTTTATTTTCAGTTCTGTGGTAATTCATTCAGGTCCAGTGGCTGCCCCCAGTGGCCACACAGATAGCATAGGCATTAAGACCAACAAATGGGACCACATGAAACTAAAAAGCTTCTCTACAGCAAGACACCATCATTTGAGTGAAAAGGCAGCCTACAGAATGGGGAAACATCTTCACCAGCTGTCCAGTGGTTAATATCTAGGCTATCCAAAGAACTCAGAAACTAAATATCAAGAAAATAGTCAACCCAATTTATAAATAGGGCATGGAATTAAACAGAGAATTCTCAAAAGATGAAATGCAAATGTGAGAAACACTTTCAAACATGTTCAACATCTTTAGCCAACAAGAAAATGCAAACTAAATCTACTTTAACATTTTTTATTATTTTAAAATGTTATGTATATGAGTGGATTCCTTGGCACCCTCCTCTGAGTAGCTCCATGAATGAGAAGAGTCAGGGTCACAAAGGACAAGAGTCAAGACTGAAGAGAGGACCAGCATCAGGAATCATCAAAGAGGCAGAAGAGCATGGAGAAACAGGAAGGCTCCACAGAGAAAAGGAGGGAGCAGACCACAGCCCCAGAGCTCCAGGGACAGAGGAAACCTAATAGGAGAACAGTGGGGAGGCCAGGCTTCCCCAGTGAACGTGTACTGGCGGTCTTATCCACAGGGTATGCTCATGGTTCTTGAAAGCTTTCTTTCCAGTATAGGAATTTGGAATGACCATGACATTTTCTGCCTGACAGGTTAGCACTGAAGAGGAAGTCAATTTTGCTGATTCTTGTATCTTAGAAAGCTATATACAACCAGGTGTCATCTTCAGAGGGGGTCCTACTGTTTGAAGCTACTCTAGGGACTTGGAAATGACAAACAGTCACAATGTTTGAAACTTGGAGATAGCCTGCTAATGTCTGGATGGGACAGAGCTGTGGGAGGCAGTTGTGGGGAGGGGAGGGTTGGCCACAAAGGTTGGGGGTGGCTGGTGAAGGTTCATAGCCCTGAGCCAATGGCCAGTGGACTCTTCAGCCTCCAGAGCTGGCCCCCACCATATGTAGCTTGTTATTGGGTAGTACTGAGAAATCTGAGCCACAGACACAACAAATCACTGATTTCTGTAGGCTCGTCCCTCACAGAGGCCTTAATGCTCGACGGGGTCTGAAAGTGTTGAGACTGGTAGGCAGCGCCTGGTCCCTCAGTGCACCTCTCCCCCTCTAGTGCCAATCTTAGCATTCTGTTGGCTCTCCCCACACTCAGACACACACACACACACACACACACACACACACACACACGGGAGATAGTGAATGTTCATCATGCACAATCTGGGGGTGCTCTGGAGGGAGTGGGAACCTGCTCAGCTCACTGGGTCACAAAACTCAGTTGAGCTAGGCATTGGTTCCTGACACACAAAGAGAAAGGAAGCTTCAAAAGTAAATAAATTCTGTGGCTAAAAACCTCCCCTCACCAGCCTGACCCTCAGTCCACGAGCAGCACCAGCCTGAATGAATCCAGAATGAAGTCTCTCACATCCCTCACTCCATCTGTTAGCCTTTTTTCCTTTTAAAATACTTTTTTTTTGTCACTGTCTCAGCATTGTTTTTATTTTATTCCATTTTTAAAAGCTTTTTAGTTTTATGCTTCTTTATGAAATTTTCTTGACCTATTTCATCACGTAATCAGACTTTTTCATCTCTTACTTTTTCTTCCTCATGGTCTTCTCCTTTCCCCCTTTCTTTTACTCTCTCATCCCCCCTTCCTTTCTTTTAAGAAGGAGACAAGAGTGACCACTCTCTCCGCCTTACTCAGTGCAGTGCTCAAAGTCTTAGCTGGAGCAATACGGCAAGATGAAAAAATAAAATAGACACGAATAGGAAAGGAAAAGACAAATTATCTTCATTTGAAGGTGATGTGCTCCCTTACAAAAAAGCAACAGATTCTATCATAAACTCCTTAGACTTGATAAACGCTTCCTACAAGGTAGCAGGATAAAAGATACCTGCCGTGCTAAGAGGGAAGTCAGGAAAACAATTCCATTCAAATAACCTCACAAAGGTATTTAATAATAAATATAATTAAGGTCAAAGTCCTCTGCATCGAAAGCTTTTAACACTGAAGAAAGAAATTGTAGAAGACAATAGAAGGTGGAAAAACATCCCATAATCATGGACTGGTAAAACTAATACTCTGAAAATAGCTTTATGAACAAATTAAATGCACTACAAATTAAATGCAACAGCCATCAAAATTCCAATGGAATTCTTCACAGAAATAGAACAGAAAAGAATTCTAAAATTCACATGGAAGTACAAAGGATCCTGAATATCCAAAAAATCCTGAGAAAAAGACCAATGCTAGACTAGACGTAGTAAGATGCCTGAGTTCAAACTGTGCTACAGAGCAAAGACAGCTGGAAAACACACAGCTACAATAGAGGATGCAGGAATAAACCTTCACAGCAATCAACATCATTATACCAGGTAGACAAAGAGGTTTCAAAC